GTGTGTGTGTGTGTGTGTGTGTGTGTGTGTGTGTGTGTGTGTGTGTGTGTGTGTGTGTGTGTGGGTGAATTGGGTGCCTCTCAGGATCTGACACCCACACACCCAACTCGGTCTCAACTCTCACTGTGGCACAGACTGAAGTCGGTTCTGTCTTGACAGGATGATGAAGTGGTGCTCCAGTGCGTGGCCTGCATCCAGAAGGAGAATCGCAAGTTCTGCCTGGCTGCCGAAGGGCTGGGGAATCGCCTGTGTTACCTGGAGCCCACATCTGAGGCAAAGGTAGGCCAAACGAACCCAGTGCCGAATGTGTTTTACTCAACCTGGATGGGTCTGTTTCTTCGTTAAAAGCCAGCATCACACACCTCATTTGACTTAATTTGTTCACGTTGCTGTTTTATAACCACCCTTATTCTCATGCACATGGGAAGAGAAAATGCAACCCACTACATATAGTAGTCTGCAGAAAGGTGCATTAAACAGAGCTTCCATTTAGACACAACACATCTACGCAGCTTATTCTTGTTTAGGTCCTGCAAAAAATTACAGCAGCCGAGCTGGGAAGCCCACAGAGGTGCCTCATCGCCTCATCAAAGTAAATAAATAAATAAATAACAGCTCACATCCACTGCAGCCTCGTTGATGAGCGTCTCTTAACAGGACTCAGCCACAACATTACATCTCTGAGCCTGCTGTCAGATGATCAAATCCTTAAAATAATTTATGCCCACACGGAGGTTTATTGAATTGTTTTCTAAGCAGAACAGTTGTTAGCTGTGGCTGGTAATTGTTTTACTGTCTTTGCGAGTGCGTTTGCAAGTTTGCGGCGCTATGTGTAAAGTTTTAATGAGTAAAATTGAATTGTTTACCACTCGGAACCAGCAGGTTGCCACCTTAATGCATTTCTTTGGGTACGTGACTGTAAGTGGAGGGCATTTTCAGTAAAGTGCTCCACTTAAGTAGAAATATTGAAATGATTATCGTCTGCTAGAGAGAACAATATCAACGTTCCCAGTGATCACTATGGCCCCACTGCTCATTTGGCTGTAATGTTTTTTCTATTGCAAAGCCGCAGATGACACCCGATTAATTGGCTCTCTTCCGCACTGATTGTCTTTTAATCTGGATCCATTAGTACTGAGATTATTAAGCTGGCACAAGCTGGCACATGTGGTGTGTGTAAATTTAAAGAGACACTGGGGTAGGTTTTAGAGAGAACTGAGCAAAATGAGAAGGCTGGGGAACAAGTTCAAGCAAAACAATTTGGATTTACATGAAAGTAAAGATGGTGTTTTGGTACACTCTCCCCTTCCGGTCTCCCAAATTGTGTGTGTTGGTGGAGGTTAGGTTTTCACTCCATATTGGATGGTAATTACACCTGACAGGTGTGATGGATATTTTCTCTGTCAGCCACTTTGTCTTCATTACCTGCTGTTTTTATGAAAGGCATCACCCCAGTTTTAGGAGCAATGACGGCAATAAAAAAAACTCCCAAGAGTGTCATTATAGAGGTGAACGACTCAATAGGATATCTCCTTTCCTTGGTAAACTAGTCCAGTAATGGAGCACAAAACCAAATTGCGGGATGAGGTTGATTTAAAGTGTAAACTGTTTAAATGGAAACATGAATCATCCTGTGGAAAGCGGCATGAATGTGATTTACTGCCAGCAGCTTTCACCTGTCAGACACTCATTATTAGGACCACTGGAGAGATGCCCACATACCATTACTGCAGGAACACTGTGTCTTTCTTTTATGTGCAGTGTGCCAATCCAGATGTAGCAATGACCAATGCATGTTTTAAATGATTTCTTTACCAGTCAGCCTTTATAGCGCTCTATTTAATTAAGCCGGGAGGGGATATACTCCACTCCTTAGGGAAGTTTACGCTGCTTTCAATATCTTTCTGAAAAACCGAGATTTTTTTCTTGTGTGCAAGCAGCTTCATTCTGCCCGTCATTTTGTTACTGAACCAAAGGTGCATGTTCTGCCATTTAAGAAAACAACATAAAAGGGCTCCTGCTCTGAAGTATCTGATTGCTTTCCTCACCGAGGGCAGTTTTCTCACCACGTCTTGATTGGACAAATCAGAGGTCAGCTGTTGACCAGAATATGAGGTTTGATTGCTGGATCACAAAACAAGAGGCCTCAGTTTGACTTTTTTGGAAAACAAGTTTAATTTTGCTTAAATATACAGCATGTGAAAATGTCGCAAACAGTGAGTTAGGTTGAGGCGTAGGACTCAAACGTAGCCAGAGTCTCGAGGAAACAGGACAGAAACATAAATCCAAAACCATTCGTTAAGCAGAAAAATCTTTGGCTGCTGCTTAATAAGGATCTTAAAAAAAAAAACTGGGAACTATATACTGTGTGTATATATATATATATATATATATATACATACACACAGTATATACAGTATACATACACTGAGGCAGAGAGGAACTAATGGATTTGAATGGAAATCAATGTGACACGGGATCAGGACATAAACCAAATCTAAAACACAACAACAATTCATAAAACAAATAAACCAAATTACACAAAAAAATCAGAATCAATCAATGACAATACGAGGACAGACATTAATTTTGCTCTTCTTTGCTCATGCAAAGCTTTGAGTCAAAACTTGATTATGAAATAAAACAAATTAAATCTGCAACATCAGAAAAAATCAAGGAACAATTACAAACAAATCTTCTGAGAAACTATTTTCCAAAAATCAGTGGTGATTTTTTTTTTTTTTTTTTTGCTTTCCAAATTGTTATATTTTGTTTTGTCATCAGCATTTATTAATCAAAAATTCAGATTTTTTAATCACGTTTTGCACCTTGGATTAGAGCTTCTGTAACTTTCCATAAGACATTAGTGGAAACATTCTTAAGACATTTAAACACTTTTTAACAACGAACAGTTTAAATGGCAACTTCCTTATCTGACCATCTGGAGTCAAGAATCAAGAATCGTTTCTTGTCATTCATACACAAACTCAGTTGTTGAGTCATATCTCTCATATCACCATAAATAAACCACCTCTGTCTGTTTTCCCTAAAGTATTTTCTCTCACCAAGCTGAAACATTTATTCTGCACCCACTATAGTTGTTCCAACCCTACACATTGCTGATCACATTGAATCCCTTTTGATTTTTAAATAACTGGACCATGAAGTTTTGAATTGAGGTCATATCCACCTGTATGTGTGCCACAAAATGTTTCGATGCTAAAAGAAGAGAAAGCCCAATTTTTCAGGTTGAAACCATTTGTCTTGTTCCCACAGTGTCCCCTGTACTGTTTCCTCATTCTGTCAGTAAGCTGCTCGTCCCGTCTGCTGTTGCCCTGATTTGGCAACTTTTTCGTATTTTTAATTGTGCTTTTTCCAGGACTTTGTACAAACACAGACTGACCTGAGAGAACTTAATGTTAATTTCTTTAAAGTACTGTTTAATGGTTATTGCCCACCAGTTGAGATTAATTTGGTTTGAGTTGGGTAAAATGCAGCAGTCAGCATTGATTTTATGAGTGGGAATCAGATGATTATATCCCACCAGGGAGCAAACTTTCTTTTCTCGACTTATGAAGATACTTTGTCTTTCTAGCGCAAAGTTTCTGAAGCATAAAATCTCTGGAAATGTTGATGGAATGAAGGAAAAGTTACTCTTTTGATTTGTAATGTTCTGATTAAGGTTTATTGCAGGGTTCTGTGTGGGCTTTTATTTAATCTGGTATTTTATTTTCACATAGATTGAGAACATCCTGTGCTACTGAGGGAGTTTTTGACCTTTAGCTTTTTGTACGAGCAATACTTTGAAGGAACATTGTGACTGATTGAAGAGAACTTTAAAAACGTTGACTCTTTTGAGTTAAAGTGCCAAATTGATTTAACTTTTTTAATTAACTACCACCAAATCTACAACTATGAACAACAATTATGGGTAAAACTTCCTTTTACAGTCCCCTAATTACCATGCAATTACCTAGCATTTACATCTAAGTAATATCATTTTACCATACAATTACTTGGTAATTACAGCAATTTACTATGTAATTACTTGGTAAGAACATATTATAATTTTTATAATTCTATTACAATTACAGTTCCATAGTATCTGAATTACCCATTATTTGCCAAAAAAATTGCCAACTTTATTTTTACGGGGCGGCTGTGGCGGAGTGGTTAGGGGAGTCGTCCTGGAACCAGAAGGTCACTGGTTCGATCCCCCGTCCAGCCGTCTCAGTCGTTGTGTCCTTGGGCAAGACACTTCACCCACCTTGCCTACTGATGGTGGTCAGAGGGTCCGGTGGCGCCGATGCATGGCAGCCCCACCTCTGTCAGTGTGCCCCAGGGCAGCTGTGGCTACAGTGTATTTTGCCATCATCAGTGTGTGAATGTGAGTGTGAATGGGTGAATGTCTGTTAGTGTAAAGCGCTTTGGGGGTCCGGAGGGACTTGAAAAGCGCTCTATAAGTTCAGTACCATTTACCATTTACAGTCACCTAATTACCAGTTATTATAAAGTGTATACTTAGAAAATTACTATGTAAATAAACTAATTTAGCAATCTTAGTACATCAATTACCTAGCATTTACCAATTTCCACATAATATGAAAAAAATATATAGTCCCTAATTACCATGTCATTACCAGTAAACTACTATGTTAGTAAAACTACTTTTATTGGGTAACTATAATCAAATTACTATTCAGTAGTACATCAATTATATATTATCAACCAAATGACTACAAACAAATAGAAACATATGTTCTTACCAAGTAATTACACGTTAATTACCAAGAAATTACATAGTAAAATGATATTACTTAGTATGTAAATACTATGTAATTGTATGGTAATTAAGGGACAGTAAAATAAAGGGTTATCCAATTATGAACACTTCCAGTGCTAAAATCCTTGTCTCTTGCCCACAAATATACAAGCATGTTGTTCCACATTCATTTGGCCCTTTAGTTGATAGAGAACAATTCTTCTGTATCCTACAGCATATTAACATGAAATGATCTAATATTGGAAATCTTTCACTAAATAATAATGGCCGACAACAATATGCACTCAAGCTTTTCAGTTTTTAGACACACAAAAACATCATTGTCTTTTATCTCTTACCAATTACTTTAAAATAGTCTCAATAAGCTGTATCATGTTTTAATCCAAGACCACCTTGTTGTTGCAGTATGTGCCTCCAGACCTGTGCATCTGTACCTTTGTGCTGGAGCAGTCTCTGTCTGTTCGAGCCCTGCAGGAGATGCTCGCTAAGAGTGGACAAAACAGTGAAGGGGTGAGTGCTGGGAAAAACAAAAACAAAACCACTAATAATTTTACACTCAGAAAAACTAATTTTCAGCTCATTGTGCCAACTTTAAAGAGGAAGTGTTTTATGACAAATGTCCCAACAACTACTTGTAATTCTTGCCTCTGCAAATGTCGCTATAAATGTAGCATTATTGGGGAAATAGAGTTTGAGTCCGTCTCAATGGAAGCTTTGAGATCAATATATATTTGAACAGATGGCTTATCAGTAGGCTGAGGCTGAAGCAAATACTTAGTTCAGGTAGATTTACACCTTAAAAAACAAACAAACAAAAAACTAGTGTAAATGCCACCTCAGATTTAACAAAATGTCTAACTTAGAGCTGAGCTGTTTTGGCAATCAGGTGCTAATCAATAAACCAGAGTAAAACAGTTGGTCAGCTACAGAACAGCTCCGGTGTCCATTAGCATTTCTGTTGCTTTCTATTCCGATGACACTCACACCAGCTGGTTTACTGAGCGAAGCAACACCACTGTGGCTCTGCATGTACTGCTGCAGTTTAGGAGGTTAGATCCTATAGATGCGTCAAACAGCTTCAGTTTTCTTATGTTTCCAAAAGGTCCTCTCTTCCTTTTGGGGTTTTAAAATTGAAGGTGCTTTAATGTTTTTGCTACAATGTCTTTTAATGTTTATAAGGTTCCTTTTCTCCCCGGTGCTGATGCTGCCAGCATCGAAAGTGAGTGGGTTTATTAGTAAAGGGTGATTGCAGCTCGATGTGCCTCGCCGCATTAAGCTCAGTACCTCAGCCAGCATATAGCACTGAGCAGCAGCACAAAATCAGCCTGGAAGCCAATGCTGCAGTCTGCGCAACAAAACTGCATCAWCTCACAGGCAGGCTATTGTCCCTGTGGCCAATTAGGACAGATAAAGAAGGGAGGAGAAAAGAGACTAATGAGCTCAAACAAAACTGAGACTGTCCATAAGACCGCATTTCACAATCTGTTAAAAGCAACAGCATGCACATTTATTTTGGACAGGCATAATTTTTTCTCCCTCCTTTCTTCTAGATGGAGTTTATTTTAATTAAACATGGTCTTTTTGACATTATATATAACAAGTATATATTTTTCCYTCACTCCCTTTACATTTTGAAAAGGGTGTAATGGTACTGTTTACACCAGGGAAGTCCAATCCTGGTCTTCAAGGGCTTTAATGCATCAAATTGGAATGGATGGGTTATTGTGACCCTGGAGGACCAGGACTGGACACCCCTGCTCTACAACATGTTCGGTTCAGAACAACATGTAGAAGCAAACACCTGCCTGTTCAACTGAAATCATCTGTAAGAAAAAGAACTCTGTGGTGCCACTGATCGCTGAGAACTGCAGCGGGAGGAGCCAGTAGGTGCASTTATGGCAAGCAGTTGTATCATGTAAGCAATGCTTTGAAACGTACTGCGACAATAGTAAAGGAGAACTTGTCTGTTTAGTTCTGCGTTGCTTCCTATTTTGCATGAAGTTTGCATCAAATTATTGAAGCAAACACTCCATTTTATTTGTTTTATTTTTTAATAAATATGTTAGGACACTAGGATTGGCCAAAATCAAATTGTATTGAATTAATTGTTAAAAAAGCATTGACAATTTATATTTGCCACTTTGCAATAGACCATTTTGTAGTAAAAATGATTACAAATGCACATGTACGAAGTGGGCCGAGCTCATGTTCAGTGGAAAAATGCTGAGGTTTTTATGGAAACACCATTGAAATTTAACAAATTYGTTAAATTAATTTTGTTGTTGTTACGGCCCATTGAAACACAGAAGGGTCATAGCACATTTAAGGAGGACACAAAGACATAATTCAGGAATAAAACTTTATTTTATTAATTAGTCCAGCTGATCCTACAAAACAACTTAGCTGAGGAGATAAAAAAAGGAACCAAAACTTTCCTGCAAAAAGAAAGAGGAAAATTAAGGACCATTGTCTTCAAAAAATTACTAAATAACAAAACTCAAAGTTCAAACAAAAGATGKACCTGGTGAGCCAGCCAAACAAAACTAAAGGTGTGGCAGTGGGCCTACCCAATACAGGGCTGTCGAAGCCACAACCACACCAAACTAAACTAACAAAAAACAAACAAAAAAACAAAAAAAAAAACATCATAAAATGATAAGAAAAACACACTCATGAAAAAATGACTTGTCCCACCAAGCCAAAGCTACAAAAAAGTAAGGATCAACAAAAGTCAAAGCTCGTGGCAGGCTGAGGCAGATGGCTAAGGCCTGCAGCCAGTCTCACCTGCAACCAGGTGCGTGCAATCAGCACCAACTAAAGGTGAGCAAAAGTGCTACAGACCAGCCCTATTTATAGGCGGGTAGGGCAGCTCACCAATCAGAACTTTTACATAATATAAGTTCTAACTAAAAAAAAGTAACCAATTCTAAAAATACAATATTTCCTTTAAAAAGCACCCCAAAGAAAAAAAAGCCCATTAACCAAAACAATCTGGAACAAAGCAAAAATATTAGTAAAAATGTGCCCGAAGCACATAACAGTTGTACAGACCCAATGTATTTGTTCTAAACTGATTTGTGTTACACTTAACTTTCATAGATGAGATTTTTCATACATACCTACTCTATAAATCTGCTTTTTGAGCTTGTTGAAKTTGCAAAATTCCAATGGCAGTTTTGTAGAAACCTCAGCATTTTACCAGTTGACCTCTGACCCAGAAGAGCTAGGCTTCGCTAGTACTTGCAACTACGAAATGGCCTATTACTGTAATTTGCACCATGTGATGATGATGTATTTTTGCGTGCGACAGACCATCCCCATCAGGTGTACATGTGAGCCTAATGGCGGAAGGCAGGACAGAGCAAATAATGCTGACCCTATGAACTTGTTCAATCATCTGAAACACAGAAAAAAAMCAAAGTATGAGAAAAGCCAGAAAATGTGGACCAAGACCACAAGGTCATCTATATACAAGTGGAATTGTGATCTATTAATCGTCACACAGTATTAACCGTCATCGGCTAAATAATCCAATTTTTCATGATCTTATTTTTTTGCMAATATCACCCAACCCTATAGGAGACTGCATTCTGGATTTTTGCTTGTAGGTTATTCTTTACAGTTTGGATCAGAAAAAAAAAAACAAGATGGTAGAGGAAATTTTCTATATTATATAGAATTTACCAGATAAATCCTACATTACTGTACATGAACTGCTACTTTAGACTCTTCAGCTCAGAAGGGTRTTTAATTTTCTTTTGTCTCTTTGGAAGAGTTATAGTCTGTAAAAAATAAAAAAGTAACAATTCTTTGTTTTTTCTTGCACTGAATGCGTACCGAACCACCTACAGTAACTAAACCTCATTGTGAGATATTTACTGAACCATGACTTAGACATACCATTACACCCCTGTTTTTCTGATTCTTTGGGTTTTGGTCAAGACAAAAGACTTAAAGCAAGGCAAAAAGCCAAAAAAAAAACCCCAATACTTTTAAATAACGATACTCTTTTTCATCTTAACGCTTCCTAGAGGCTCATAAGGAAGGTGAGTAGCAAAGAGGTTGTTTGCCAAAGAAAAGTCCACAAAAGCTCTTTTCTGTCCCCTTTGCATTTCTCCAATTAGACATATTTGTCTCCTCTCCCACATCTTAATGCAACAACAACAACAACAATGGGGCATTAGCGTTCGTTGCTAATGTTGACATTGCCTTGCGGATTGACAGTAGCTGTGCATCTTTCCTACATCTTTATCGTCAGGAAAGCTGACCCTGTATCCGGTTTGTTTATGGATACAAGAGCTGGTAGTACCATCCTCTTGTGGCACGTCCGATTTGCATGTTTTCATTGATGCAATAGGGTGGGGTAAATCTTCCCCGTGAGATATGTGCCCACCCACTGCTTGARGTCATGGTTGTTGGCGAGCAGGGCTCATCTGAGGTCAACATTCAGTGCCAAAGGTCGGGCGGTGATTGATTGAAACAGCTGGAAGAACACCTTTGGGGTTGGGTTGTATGGAGATTGTGCTGACAAATATTTGGATGTGTGTGTGTGTGTGTGTGTGTGTGTGTGCGTGCGTGCGTGCGTGCGTGCGTGCGTGCATGTGTGTGTGTGTGAATTATCTATACAGGCAGCCCAGAGCGGTGGACACAAGACGCTGCTGTATGGACATGCCATCCTACTGCGGCATTCCTTCAGCTACATGGTGAGAGWTTACACACAGCTATCATAAAAGCATCAGAAAGGATTTACACAGTAGCAAGATTAAAACTTCATTATCAGTGTCTGAAGCATTAGCAAACAGGATAATTCATCTTTTGTGGCTCGATGTGTGTGTGCTGACCACAGTACCTGGCCTGTTTGAAGACATCAAGGTCACAGACAGATAAGCTATCGTTTGATGTCGGCCTGCAGGAGGATTCAACAGGTAAAAGGGGGACTTTGGAGACGTTTCCTTTAATCCCTGTCTTTTTCACTTTGTATTTGCACTCCTTCCTCCCCCCCACCCCCTCGCTCTGGTTTGTTTCACTCTAACAATCACTCTGCTGTTTCATTGTTTCCATTTTTATCTTTCTCTCTGTACTTSATTTGCTCATGACTGAATTTCAACGCGTTTCTTTTCAGCATCTAGGTTAATATTACCYCTGAAGCACCGTAGACACACAATTCACCTCTATTGGGAGCTATGATTACGTCTGGGTTCCACATTTGATAGTTTTATTGTGGTATCCTGATACCTGGAGACACATTTTTGCCTTGCTAGCATCATTCATTCAACAACAAACTTTAAAAGATTGCTGCAGTCGTATATTATCTAGTCCTCAGTTTTTATGTCCTTCTCACTCCGATTAAAACATTTGTGTGTTTAAGTTTGTGCTTAATATTATTATAGGTGAAGCCTGTTGGTGGACAATCCACCCTGCCTCCAAACAGAGATCAGAGGGAGAGAAAGTACGCATCGGTGATGACCTAATCCTCGTCAGTGTCTCCTCTGAAAGATATCTTGTAAGTTTACAATTTACCATTTGCATTCTGTCAGAACCTTTTCAGGACAATATTGACTCTGACAGAGACAGAATTTCTGATCAATCCCAATCTATTTACCACATGCACTGTCACAACTGCAAGAGCAGCAAGAGTCTGAGAGAAATGTAGGACAGCTTACAAATGTATTATTCTAACTTTGATCTGCACTTGATAGGATTTGGTTWGGAGGATTGTAGCTCTTTAGACTGCTCTCAATCTCATTTAAATTAGCCTCTTTTTAATACTTTGATTGATAAASATTGTGTCATAATTGCATTTTTGTAATGACCCTTTCAACAAAAGCCTTTTTCAGCATTTGTTAAGCTTTATTGAAAGCTTAGCAACACAACTCCATGTTGCATTTTCTCTTGAGACATGCTCCCTGTGACTCATGAAGTCAGTGACAGCAGTCAGGCAACATTTGCCTCCGCCRCCTCCACTGTAGCAGAGCACGGACAGATGACCTCTGTCGCCTTACAGTCATCAACGTCAATCTGGTAGTCTTTCACAGCTGTCACTCATATAGTGGTTCATGGGGACACGCAGCACCTAAGRGCTGCAGAAGGACTCTGGGGAGCAGGGATGATGGGAACACAGCTGCCAYGAAATGTGTTTTTTGGATCCATGAATATTGTGCTAAACACACTAGTGCACAAACACGTTTATGGCATTACAGCCCCTCGTGTGGCAGAGATCCCAACATAYTTGAGGCATCTGTCAGTCTGTTTTGCTACTCCCTGAATGGTCAACAAAAACAAGATTTTTTTTACACAATGGCYAATAAAAGTTTAATAAGACAGAATTGGTTCTTTTCACTCATAAGAAGTCAAGGAAGTGTTACTCACCTCCAAAGTTGCAGGGCGTAGAACTCTCCCTGTCAGTGTCAGTAAAATTTTTGGGTGTGTCTATATAGAAAGGAAGCTTAACTGGAAAAGACRTGTAAGYGAAGAGTGTAAGAAGGCAGCAATRTGCCTACACCAGTGCTGTAGGATTGCAGGTAGTCGTTGGGGTTCTACCCCAAAGGTTATCAGATGGATCTACATGAACATAGTCCGCCCCATGCTATGCTATGCTGCTTTAGTGTGGTGGGTTTGAGTCCAAGTTGGGGTGGTAAGAGTGATGCTTACCCATGTGCAACGAATGGCCTGCCTGAGTATCACAGGTTCCATCAGAGCAACACCCACGGCAGCCATGGAAGTCCTACTGGACCTGGCTCCACTAGATTTACATATCTTAGTGGAGGCCGCATCCAGTAAGGCTATGCCAGTCTGGCAGGTGGAAAAACCTATCTGACTCACAGCACACTATCTGGGACTGGGCAGTTGCTGCTGTTCCAGTAACTGTAGGACCTGGAAACAGAATGGTCAAAAAATACAAATTTGAGCCAAGTTTTAAGACAGAGATAGAAGACAGGTCTGTCTGGATTAACCTCTCTACGATGGACATGTCTCCCAATCATTTCTTCTGTTTTACAGATGGATTCCTTCTGAAGGGGTCAGTAGGTGCAGGGGTGCTTATTTTGCACAACCATAGTAAGAGATGCATAAATACCCACTAGGTTATTTTGCAACTATATCTCAAGCTGAGATATATGCAATCCACCAGTGTGTGGCATCTCTCAAAGACYTTCCGTGTACACAGAAAGAAATATTAATCCTAACAGATAGCCAAGCTGCTATTAAAGTTCTCAGAGGGCCACACTTTATGTCATTACTGGCTTGGGARTGTGCCGAAGCAGTCAACCAACTGGGGAGAGATAACAGTGTTACTGTTAAATGGGTACCAGGACATACTGGCATTTATGGTAACGTGAGAGCAGACTACCTCACAAAAGTTGGCAGTCAGCTCACTTCAAAGGACCAGAGCCTGTTGTAGGTATCTCACCAACAGTCTGTAGGACTGCCCTACAGGCCTGGATTAGACATCAACACTCAATCCGCTGGAGGGAGCTGACGGACTGTGGACAGGCACGGGAACTGATTAACRGCCCAAATCTAAGGTTTGGGAAAGCTCTCATTGCCCTGACAAGGAAAACTCTAAGTACACTAGTTGGAGTCCTAACTGGGCACAATCTGCTCAACCGCCACAAAATGGTGATGGGACTCCATGACAATGGTCTGTGTGATGCCTGTGGCATTGAATTAGAGACYTCTTTGCACTACTTAGGCTACTGCCTGAAGCTCAGAACACAGTGTTTCTAACCTTCTGTCCTTCATCCGAGGGACRAGAAGATTCGAATAAAGACCAGTGTCTTTTTGGGKAGAGCAATGGGCCCACTTAAGAGGCCTCCGCTCATATGGATTTTAYATCCATCCCCTCTAACCATAACCATAATAAGAGTTTAAAACTCCAGAATAATCTGTCTTYGCTTTTGAACATGATGAGTGAATTGTCAGAGGTACACAACATTAGTTTCAATGAATAAAGTTGTGTATAATCTTTGAGCTCTATTTTATGTCTCTAAAGCACTGCAATGTTAACTCAAACCATTATCTCTAATGGTTGTGCATAAACAAATAAGTGATATTTGTCATGTTTTTTGCAGCACTTATCCATCTCCAATGGAAACATCCAGGTGGATGCTTCATTTATGCAGACTCTGTGGAACGTCCATCCCATCTGCTCTGGTAGCAACGTAGAAGAAGGTAGAGATTTTTAAWTAATCAAATTAGAGTCAGGAAAAATAAGCTGCCAGATGATCATGTTTTAGGCAAAGCATTACATCTCATTATTTGCTAACTTAAAGCTTAGAGACTTCAAAGCTCTTAWTTTACACATATTTAACATCTGGTTTTAAATGAAGTGTGTGCTTGTTGCCAGATTGGATGACATGTCARAACAGATGGTTCCCAAAAAATTGTCTACTAATCCAATGTTAARTTCTGAGCATAAACAAGAAAAAAGGAAAAATTAAACCATTGTCTTCAAAGCCTGTGTTTTTCCTCTTCCAATAGGTTACCTGTTAGGCGGTCACGTGATGCGCCTCTTTCATGGTCACGATGAGGTGGTGAGCATCCCAGGCTCAGATCAGAGTGAAGAGCAGCAAAGGTATGTAACTGCACAGAAGATGTAGGAGCTGGGCTTGGCTAACTGTTGCCTTTATGAAACTGTCTCTGTCCAAAGTAACACTTTGCTCTTCAGGGAGCAAAACTGGGTTTATTTTTAGCTTCTGAGGTAAAATAGAAATAGGTGGGGTCAATAAAAAAAGGCAAAAATGGATTAAAGTGGGTCATAAATTCAACAAGGTGCCAGGAGATAAAGTATGCCTCTTGAACACACAGTTTCTGTTTTTAGAATAGAGCATTGCAAACATGGGGGTGGGATTAGATAATTCATTTTTAAGCTTTGGCTTTTCTCCTGGTGTTGTCCTTGAAATTGAGCTGAACCAGCTTTCTTTTCAGACATTTTTCTTTTTTGGGGGACAGATCAAACACAAGCTGACACCACAGAGCGARGAGTGTTCTCTTTTATCTTAAAACCCAGTCACCCATATCTCTGATAGACAGTGGCTTTGGGTTATTGGGGCACACGTGTCACCRTTTGAAGGATGACACGCTGCTGTCAGAGAGCTGAATGCAGCCCATGTGTTGGTGGGTGTTGATGTGTTTGAGTCAGACATCTCAGGAAAGCATTCTGATAAATGAAAGCTWAATAAGAGCTGGTATTTTTCTGAGTTAGGTTAAAGGACCTTGGAGGTGTAAGTGGCAGCCAGACAGTAAACACACCCACGGACAAACCAAACACRTTTCTTTGGCTTCCTCAGGATAGTCAACTATGAGACGGGGAAAGCAGGTGCCAAGGCGAGGTCCTTGTGGAGGCTGGAGCCTCTTCGAATTAGGTGGGCTGTTATTCTCCCTGTTTGTCAATCCTTTTTGTTATTGTTTTCATAATCTATATTAAAAGTGCATAATTATGTCATCAGYTGTTTGCGTCTTTGATCCAGCCACATCCCTTTTACATGCTTAAAATGGCAAATGTTCTTTATTGATTGTTTGATTTTGTGCTTTTTTAAAAATAAAAACTCAACAGCTGGAGTGGGAGTCACATTCGCTGGGGTCAGCCCTTTCGATTGCGACACCTGACCACCGGTCACTACTTGGCCTTGACCGAGGACAAGGGTCTGGTGCTGCAGGACCGGGAGAGGTCTGACACGATTTCCACAGCCTTCTGCTTTAGAGCATCCAAGGCAAGAAGACCAGATGGCAATACCTCGCACAGATAAATTTTCACTTAAGGGGATGGTTCAAATCCTTTGTGGTGGGGTGGTGTAAAGATTTAGAAAATTTAGTCTGCAWGAGCAACAGAACTTCTGTGTTGTTTCAGACTTAAGCTACACATTTTGATTTTGGTGACTCTCAGACTAGCTGTGGCTTGTCATTTCAGTCAGAAAACAGGTGAAAAATTATTAGATTATAACTTTTCAATAGAACCCCACCATTGCTTGAAGTTCCAGCTGTTCTTCGGCGTGGTCTGTGTTTAATGATGTTCCTCGTTAAATCAGAAGGCTCATCGCTAAACCTTCACAGAAGAAACATTCACAGTCACCAGGCTGGATAAGCACCATTTTATCAAGCACAATAAAAATTATGGGAGTTATTGGGCCAGTAAAAGCTGTGCTGTAGAGGTTAATTTACTTGAACTTTCCAGCTGCAACTGAACTAACCATTTAGTTGTACTCAGAGTAATGACATTTCTAGATATGAGCACTGACTGTGAGCAAACGAATGGCTCCTAAAACGTGGATTGGATTTTTTCATGATAAAGTTATCAGTAACAGTTGGATTTTTTTTTCTACAACAGGGTCTTACAAGCAAAACAAATTGACTAACTATGTTGGGTGGAGCCCAGCAGATGTAATTGACATTTAGGTGGTGATTTGATTAAAGGGAACATATCATGCAAAATCCACGTTTTTAGACATTAAATGCATTTTGTTGTSTACTTAGAGTCTCTAAGGAGTGCAGAAAATTTAAATGTAGTTTCTCCTGGTGCTGAATAGATATCTTAAAATTCTGTTTGGGTCACATTTTTCAACCCATTCAGTTTTTTCTATTTTCTATGATGTTTTCTGAACTATATTACATYAAATTATTTGAGACAGAATTGCTAAATTTGGTCTGGACTTACCAACTGCTATTTGACTGTCTTCATTCTCCTCTGGCTCTGGGTCAGACTCTGGCTCCAACATGTAAAGCTAGATGGAAAAATCTTCTGTTGTTGACATCTTTTAATTAATTTGTAAATAAACAGTTTATGTGCCACCATGTAGTCTTAAATCCCTCAATCAAACTGGAATGGACCTCTCTGGAAGCTGGAAGTGGGCGGGGTTTAAATAGTTTCATTTGAATTTTAAGAGACAGCCTCAAAACGAGCTGCTTTGTTTTTTAAATTGGACCTTGCATTGCAGTTCCTTTTTACATAGACCCCAAGTGAATAATTAAATGTTAAAAATAAGGATTTAAAAGCATGACATGTCTCCTCTGAGAAAAAAAATGTGTGTGTAATTGTTTTATTACCTGTTTTACATGACAACATTTCTACTCTGTGCAGGAGAAGCTGGAGCAGAGCCCCAAGCGGGACATTGAGGGCATGGGGGTGGCAGAGATTAAATACGGGGACTCTATCTGCTTTATCATGCATGTGGCCACAAGTCTGTGGCTCTCCTACCAGGCACCTGATGTCAAATCTTCACGACTGGGTCCTCTCAAGAGAAGAGTGAGCGMTGACTCACAAACACATATAATCAGATGCAAAGCAGAAACAGTGACTCTTATTTTCTTTTTCTTTCTTTTTCTTCTCCCCATCCTCAAGGCATGCCTTCATTCCGAGGGACACATGGACGACGGCCTCACCCTGCAGCGCTGTCAGCACGAGGAGTCTCGTGCCGCACGAATTATCCGCAACACCACGTTACTCTTTAAACGATTCATTAGGTAAGGAGCACGTTGTGTAAACTGTGCCACGGCGTAACTCACGTCTGCGACACAGCAGCGTGATTGCACAAATGACCCAGTTAAACCTAATTAAGCATTTAAATCAAATTACCAGCCATGTTTGTCTTGAGTCACTATTTTAGAATAATCTGCAAAATACGCTGTAAAAGAAAAAAAGGCTTAGGCACCTGCTGATGATGGTGGAGCAGAGCTAATAAGTCCCTGGTGCCAACGCTTTCCCAAATTTTAGCTGATGCTCCACAAATCGATTCCTAAAAACCTCCCAGTCTCTCACAAAGCTGCAGATTGGGAATGCAACTGGTGGGGAATGACGTGTGGGTTTAGACTAAGTGGGGATGCCAAAGCCACAGACAGCTCGCTCACCAGACCTGTTATTTATTTCCTAATAGCTGCCTGTGCAGCAGAGTCACAGCTATGAAAAGCAGAAGCTGTGGCACGTGTAGCTGTTCTCAAAGAGCTCCCTGTCCCCCGGGTCAGACTCAGGGATCCTTGTCGTGGCAACATGTGACAAGGTGTCAGCCTCCCCCGTGGCTATGACACGTACATCACCACCCCCACCCCTCCCACGCATASGACATGAGATATTTTTAGAAGGCTGGCAGAAATCAGCATTTCGGCATGAATGAACTTGCGAACGTAACACCGTATTAGTCATCTGCACTGTCTTCTGATAACAGCGTCTTATCAGTGATTCTCCGCATTTTTATTGAAATGGAGGGTTTGACGGCTGTTGTAAACRTCACTGAGAAGCGTGGTCTGATTTTTGTTTCCTCTTGTCTCTTCATCCCAGAGATCTCGACTGTTTGAGTGTTAAGAACAGGGCAATGGTCGCCTTACCTGTGGAGGAGGTGCTGCAGACCCTCAACGACCTCATTGCCTATTTTCAGCTCCCCGACGCAGAGCTGGAGCACGAGGAAAAGCAGATTAAGCTGCGCTCACTGAAGAACAGACAGAATCTCTTCAAACAGGAAGTGAGCATCGTGGAAGGTTTTGCAAACTAGCTTATGAAATATTAATTTCACAAAATAACTACCTTACTCTACAATGTAAGAAATCATTACAAACCCAAAATAAATAGTGGTGATTAGAGCCGTTTTAATAGATGTGTGGATGATTGAAGCAAAACTGAAAATAAAAGAGAGGCAAAATGATTGATCCTGTGAGGCATGTTACATTGCTATCCTGTGTATGGAGGCACCACATGTGAAAGTGTCAGCAGTTTTAATGTTATGAGTTTTCCCTGAGGCAGACATGAGTGCACTGAAGCTTCCTGCTAAGTTCTGGGGGCCTAAATAGCTTTAATCAATTATGATGTCTGCTGCCTTACTACTCTGGATTTGTTCTTGTTACAAATACATGAATATGCCACTAAATATTCAGGAGATCTTGGAGATGTATAAATTTGTTAAATTCAATATTGATGTGTCAATTTTACTATCACTTTTACTTTTTTTCTTGTTTTAATATAACAAGTCAACATAAAAGGTCTTTGTCTTCTGAAATGCTGCATTCAGAAAGTCCGTTTGTCACCATACACAGCTGACTAAGGATTTTTCCTGGTGTTATAAATCACCTGAAATTTCCATTTTGTCCTTTTAACACCCTCCATTTAGCATATCAGATCATTCTAGATATTTCCCAGAAACATAAATCACTGACACAGCCCCATAATGGGACATGAGAGAGCTACATTTAGGATGGTCATGCTAATTAAAACCTGGAGGCCAAAATGAAACTTTCCTTTAAAAGAAGAGCTTGTCATTAATATAATATGTCTCGATACTTAAATGTGCAGAATTATGAGTCGATTTAAAACAAACTTTCCCAAACTGTTCATTTASTTGACCAAAGTTTTGTATAATAAATCCACAAATCTCAATCATAAAATGAAAAAAAAAAGAAAACCTTAGAAGCAATTTAGTTGAGAAACTAAAACTATAGAAAACATCTCATGTAAAACCAAATTAAAACATTAAATTACATAAATAATTAAGACTAAAGCGTTAATTTCTAATAAAAGCCAGACAAAATAAATATATCATAAAGTCCTTTTTGAAAAACCTCAATAGAGGGAGCACAGTTGGTAGACAGTGTAAAAAAAATTGTAATAAACTGAAGTTTTTGTAGTTAAAATTTAGAAAATGTATACCACATTTTCTGTCTTTGTGTGGTAAAGTTATGTTTCTGCATTATGCTGTTGTGTCTTGTKTAGGGCATGCTGACCCTTGTCTCCAACTGTATTGACCGGCTGAATGTATAYAACAGTGCGGCCCACTTTGGGGAGTATGCTGGGTTAGAAGCYGGAGCAGCCTGGAAAGATATTCTTAATCTGCTGTATGAGCTGCTAGGTAATAAACAGTTCTAAAACACTTTCACACAWACACAAACACGCACACACATTTAATACTATAATCAGTCTCAAAGATTTGAGTCTTTTTAAGGTAAGAWAGCTGCAAGTGGGATGATTTCCACCGTTTTGACCTGAAAGTTAACCAGATTATTTATAGGATGGGTGGATTTCCTGAGATTAGACAGTTTCGCAACATTCAGRGCATTATTCCCCACAGGCTGTCCAAATTCAGGTACTGCGTCCTTCGAAGTATCTGGTCTACGTGGGCCAGATCTTTTGTTGAATGCAAGGACCTGCAGCTCAACTGGGTTCATGAGAGCGGCTGCGAGTTGCCATGCATTGGCTCAACAACAAASGYTCTCATTGGATKAGACGCACAACGAAGACCATCTAAAGCCAATAGTGATCAAGATCCCRCCTCCCCGCCACGACCACTGGGTTTGTGTGTGTTCGTGTGCGTGTTAGCTGCCAAGTGAACAGAGAGGGCTGCAATTGAAGGARCCTTTGATTTTGGACGTCACAGTGATGTAAKCAGCCTTTAAATCCTGTCTTTGAAGGTTGCAGCCCCTGAATTTAGACACAGCCACACASACACAAATTTTAGGTGAGCAGCTTTGGCACAGTTCAGTTGWTAAATGTKAATTCCTCCTACTTCCTTTGCTATTATGTGCCCTCTTTGTCCTTATCATGTTCTTTATGTTCCCATGTCTGTGTCAGTGTCATCAGCCCTCCTGTCCTGAAATCACTTTAACCTCCTGCTCTGTGACTGTAAACTCTGTCAGACAGGATGTATCTCATTAAACTGACCTGGCAGGGAAAGCGAATTATTTGGCTCTCCCTCTTCGTCTGCACGTCCTGCTAGTTTATACCCACTGTGAACCTAMAAATATGCAGAAACACCCTTTTAAAAGTCCGTTTATTTAAACTTTATATAAATATCTGAATGTTTACACCGAAATCTCCCTACCTAGCTGTCCATCTGTATATCTGTCTATAGCTAGATTTCTAAAAAGCCCATGTGGAAAACTTATCTTTCATCTTAGCTAATTGAAGCCCCTCTACCCTTCAAGAATGTCCTTCACACTCTTGTTTGTTCTGACTTCACCTCCTGGCTCAAATTAGTGTTCCAGCCACGTCTGTCTTCCTCTCTTCCCTCCTTCACACACCTGCTGTAGCACAGCACTAAGTGGATTTRGGGTGCCTTCTTCCTGCCTTCTCTGTCTGTCTGCGTCGTATGACCCTGTTGCAGGACATACGTTGTGTGGATGTGTTTGTCCGTGTTATATTTTCTCCTTGCTCTACATCCCTCTTCTGTTTTAGGCACCTTCACAGATTAATATGCATAAGAGCATCAAAGCAGGACCTTGCCCTTAAATGGCTTTGGAATTAGTTTAGGGTGTCTACATATGCATCCTTCAAACCTGCTTATTTCTTAGTGTGAAGTTTGACTCGTGTTGACTTTCCCTGTGACTTGCAGCGGCGTTAATCCGAGGGAACAGGAACAACTGCACTCAGTTCTCCAATAACTTGGACTGGCTRGTGAGCAAGCTGGAAAGGCTGGAGTCATCTTCAGGTGTGATCATCAAGCATTTTAAGATAAGAACTGTGAGATAATGCAACACAGGTTCCTTTGATGGCAAACTGAGTGTGCAAAACTTTATCTTTTATATGTATCTTTAAGAATGTACTAGCAGCACGTCGTGTTCCCTCTTGATCTATGCAGACTGCATGTCTCTTTAACAAATGCCCTTTGCCGTGTCTTTCTTTCCTGTGGACTTTAACTGATGAATTTTTCGAATGCGCAGGCATCCTGGAAGTTCTGCACTGCATTTTAATTGAGAGCCCCGAGGCRCTCAATATCATCCAGAAAGGACACATTAAGTCCATCATATCACTGCTTTACAAGCATGGTCGCAACCACAAGGTGAGCTCTGACGGCCCTGTCACACTAAAACATTTTAGACGACTTGTGCCAACTTATGAAAGTTGATTTTATGTCTTAATTACTATTAAAAGTTATTTGATCAATTTGTTAGCACCACAGTATGTACACTCATGAAAGAGGCTTCCAGTTGATTTTTTAAAAATTCTATCTTCAACGTAAAAAAAAAACTTCCACGTAGATGTCTTAAAAAGTTGTCTAAAACACCTTGAGAAGTGGAGATGTGGTCAGATGTTGATAAGGTAAACCAAGGCACCTTTTGTGTTTAGTTGTGTGAATGCTTATCAAGCATTTATTTTATTGAGATCATCCATT